GGGCGAGGCGGCGGCTGGCCTGCGCTGCACATGCGGCGCGGTGGTCCACAGCCAGTGGGAGCCCTTCGATACGAAGACGCTCGGCAAGGACGGCCAGCACGCGCAGCTTCTCGGCAGCGAGCAGAGCATCGGCAGTTGCGAGATGCAGGAGACGCTCGACGGCCTCACGGAGGACCAGGGCAGCCAAGGGGACGGCGGTGCCGATCCCGAGATTGGGCAGCAGTGCATCGCGCGCGATGACGAGGAGCTGCTGCAGGAGGACTGCCTGGCAGAGAAGCTGGACTGGACGGCCTCGGCCCACAGGTTTCTGCTGGTTTCTGCAGAGGCCACGGGCCAGCAGCCGTTCGCACGGCGGCGTGCGCGCCTGGATCGAGAGCGCCGCGACCGTGACGTCGCCCAGCTCTGCGCCTCGTTCATGGAGTTGATCGGGCGGTGAGCGGGCGCCGCGGGACCCCGCGGGACCCCGCGCTGGTCCCGCGGCTTTGAATGCGCGCATGAAACCGCCGTGCTCGCGCGGCGCCTACACAGATAAAAAAAATGCCCTCACCCTGCCTGGGAGGCGGCCCCGCCAGATCTGCTGCCCAACCAGTCTGCGAGAGCGGGCGAGGATTATGCTGCGGTCCTTGCGATCACGCAGACCCTGGGCCGCTTCACCCTCCTCGGCGACTGCAAGGGCACGGCGGGCTGCATCAGGAACCTCCCTCGGGCGCAGGGACCCACCTCGCTGCGCGCCCATTTGTGGGCCGGGGTGGGCGGCGCGGCCACGGGGATCGTGGCGACGCACATCCTTTGCCACTCCTCGCAGGAGGCTGCCCACATGGGCGCGATCACTGCACTGGAGCGGGACGGCAACATGATCGCCGACAGGCGGGCCAAGGAGGGCGCAGCCCTGCAGGCGGCATCGGACGAGGACGCGCTGGTGTTGGATGGCCTGCTGGAAAACTCTCGTGAGGCGGCCCGCTTTGCGGCGGAGGTCGAGGTCTACATCACGGAGCAGGGTTTCCGTGACTGCTGGCCGACTGAGGCGCTGGACGGCATCGACCTCGGCGACGTTGGCGTGTCACAGACCGAGGAGGCGGAGGCAAGCACGGCGGGCAGCGGCGCTGGGCTGGCGACGGCTGCGGGGGCTTCGGCGCCGGCGGCGGCAGCGGCCTCCAGCTCGGCCCCCAGCGTTGCTTGCCTCTCTTCGGCCCCGAGAAGAAGGGACAGCTGTGATGAGTGCAGCGGGGCTGAGCAGCGGGTCAGGACTGGCTCACGGGCCCAGGCGCGGCACTGGGACCAAGAAGGCCATCGGCGAGCTGGCGCCGCCCTCGGCGGCCACGAAGGAGCGCTGGGCGGCGAAGCTTGGCGTCGCAGAGTAGGCCGACCAGGAGGTTCGCCCAGGTGCGGCCAGCGGGGGCTCTGGCATGCCCCAGGTGCCCGAGCCCGCTGGTGTTGGGCCGGTGCCCGGCGCGGGGGTGTCGGCGCGCCAGCGCCTCGCTGATCCTGCAGCCGCTGGAGAGCGTCGCCAGGGCCCGCGGCTTTGGGTCCCCGGGGGCGGCGCGGGACCGTGGCCACGAGGCCCGCGGCGAGCGCGCGGCTGCAGCGCGCGGGGGTTTGGGGCCCCCAGGAGGGCGAGCCAGGTCTTCGAGTGGCTCGCCCTTGGGTGCCCCACCCGCGCCACGCATGTTCGAATTTGACAAGGGCGCCCTTGCGCCTGCGAAGAGTTTTTGAACATGCCCTCGCCCGATATACAGTCAACCCTCATAGTAAGGACGAGCCATTGTCCAAGATTATCATTGCATCCTCCCCCGTCGGCCCATCCTTGGCCGCCTTCGCTGACCGCGCCCCGCTCGCAAAGTGTTGGCATGGCCTTCCAAGGCCCTTGCATCCTTACCGTGCGTCCTTATCATCATAAGGGTTTGCCTTTTTCGTGCGCCGTCCTTACCATGCGGCCTTATCGCGCATCCGTATCGTGCGTCCTTCTGGTGCATTTGCATCGCGCTTCCTTATCACGCGTCCTTATCGTCCTCATCCGGGCGTCCTTAACTCGCCGAGCGCGCTCCACTACTCGCATTGTGCCTACTCCCAAACGCCCCGGGGGGGGGGGGAAAACAAAACATTCGTCTGCCTCTGTGCAATCGCTCGTAAATCCCCTGCGGCGGATCCAGACCATTTGCGAGCAGCTGCTTTGCGAGCAGTGGAGCGCGCTTGTCTAGTAACACGTGTGTCTTAGTGTATCCCTGGGCCCACGCGCCGTGTCCCCGACGACGACGACGACGACGAGAAGCACGAAGACGACGAAGATGACGACGACGACGACAAGTACGATGCCGACGACAACGACGACAAGCACCACGATTTCGGTGAGGACGAGGCGATGACGAGGACAACGACGACGACGACGACGACGATGGCGACGACGACGATAAAGACGACGACGACGACGACGAGAAAGGCGACGACGAGGATGACGACGACGACGAGGATAACGACAACGACGACGATCAGCTTAAGCCTATTCGCTCGTACTGGCACGCGTGTATTGCATTCTGTCTACTGCAACCTTCGATACCGGCCCACCTCGTCTTCGATCGTACCCCTTTTCGGGGGGAATGTCTTCCTTGTCGGCCACTGACTGAAGTGCGAGGAGCTCTCGAGGGAGAGCGCCCTTCCTGAGTTCGGGAGCCTCCCGGCCAGGGGCTCTCGGAATACATATTAAGAAATATCGGACGGGAGCCCTTGTCGCCCTGTCTGGGCCTCCACCAACTTGCCCGAGCTACGAAAAATCTTAAGCAAGAGCGCCGCTCTTGAGTTCGCGGGCCGCCCTGGCAAGGGCGTCTGCGAATTCATCTTTCGTCGTAGTTGGGCCTCCACCAATTCGATTGAATCACGAGAAAGTCTCGAGCGAGAGCGCCGTTCTTGACTTCGGGGGCCTTCCTGGCCAGGGGCTCTCGGAGTAAATCGTGAGGAAGTATGGAGCAGGAGCGAGGAAGTCTCGAGCGAGAGCGCCGTTCCTGAGTTCGGGGGCCTCTCTGGCCAGGGTGTCTCGGGGTAAACTGTGAGGAAGAATCGAGCGGGAGCCGTTGTCGTCGTAGCCGGGCCTTCAAGGGCACACTTTTACACTCACGCCAACGCTCGCGCGGGAGCCTCGTTTTCAGAGAAAATGTAGCTGGCGTCGAGGCGAGAGCGCGCGGAACCGCTTCCGAAGATCAACATCAATCATTCTCTAGAACTGAGTATTCGATGAGTGTGAGTTCGACGACGACGACGACGACGACGACGACGACGACGACGAGGTCGACGAGGTCGGCGACGACGAGGATGACGAAGACGACGACGACGACGACGGCGACCCCGACGACGACTTTTCCGCGCCCTACCCAGGCTCCCACCGCGCCGCGCGGTTGACGGCGCCGCGGCCAACAAAAAAAAACTGCAGCGCTTGCCTGCGCCTGGGGGAAGCGGGTCCGGAGGGAGACGGGCCCCACCCAAACCAAGGTCGGGGAAACGTAAGACTCGAGCAAGCCGGAGCCCGGAGTGTTTCCAAAGTTTTGTTGACGAGCGCCTCCTGGATTTGGGTGGTCTGATTTTGGTGGGATGTCTGCAGCGGGAGCTCGCGTCAAGCTTCAGACTGGGTCTCGTCATTTCCATGATGGCTCCGTCAGGCCATCCCGAGTCCCCCGCACCCGAGTGGAACGTCTCCCGACGAGGACGCTCTCGAGGGCGCGGAGTGATTCGCGCTTCGCGGTTCGGCTCCTATGCCTCCGCGTCCTCCTCTCCTCCCCTTGGGGGCGGCGCAGGAGCGCGGAGTGCTTCGCGCAGCGCGAGGTGAGGCTCCCTTAGTGGGCCCATGGGCCTTCCCCCGGGACGCGCTCGTCCTCCCGAGCCGTGTTCGGACATTCCCGGGGCCCGTGCAGGGCCCCGGGAGTCCAAAAGCAAAAACAGGCGACGAAGTTCGGGACCGCGTTCCTTCAGTGAGCTCGGCATCGCTCGGGCGTGTGCATGTTCTCCTCGGCGAGGACCGTCAAGGAGCAGATCCAATCATCTGCGGAAGCATGCACGCACGAAGCCGAAACATGCACGGGGAATGGACGTCCGAGCGATGGCGAGCTCAGGACCCGTTTGCCCCGTGGCGATTGCCCTTGGGCAGCAGTTGCCAGCGTCATGCGTCCTCCGCAGCCCACGGGCTTCACACAGCTTCGCACAGGCATGACCCTGCACTGCTTCATTACCCAGTATAACAGAGGCCATGTTTGGGATGGCTTCCACGCTCAGGATGGAAGTTTTCCGCCTCTGAGTGCCCCCTCCTGCTCCTCCGCGGCCGCCTTGTCCGTCTTTCCTCCCCTTCTTGCATGCTGGGCAATTCGCGTCTCGGTGCCCCCATTTAGCCTTATTGCTGGTGCAGCCATCCTGCCTCGCCGCCGACGAAAACATGTTTGGGATGGCTTCCGATTGTGAGCTCGCGCTCTCCGCGGCGAACCAGCGAACAAAACAAAAACAAAATGGCTGTCCACCCCTCTCGGAGCCGTCTTGGAGCCATCTTGGGCGAAAAGGATCCTCTGATGCCTCGCGACCAGCCCCGTCCAGGTCCAGGGGAGGGGGTAGGGGGAGGAGCGAACCCCTCCCCGATGGGGGAGAAGGGGGTTGGAAGAGGACCTCCTTAGACCACCTACGTACGCCCAGAGGGCTGGTGGGATTGGCTGTCCACAAGGGGTGTGCTAAAGTGAGGGGGTGCTAAAGTGAGGGGGGTGAGGGGAGGAGGGTGTGCTAAAGTGAGGGGGGTGCTAAAGTGAGGGGAGTGACGGGAGGAGGAGGAGGAGAGTAGGGGAGGAGGAGGAGGAGGAGGAGGAGGAGGGAGGAGGAGGACGACGAGGAGGAGGAGGAGGGGCGAGAGGCGGCGGAGGAGGCGGCGGAGGAGGCGGAGGAGGCGGAGGAGGAGGAGGAGGAGGAGGAGGAGGACGCGGGGACCGTCTCTTCAAAACGAGGACCACACACCACAGGACGGCTGGGAAAAACAGTTGGCTGCCCACCCCCCCTGCCTCCGCCGGCTCCTCCTCGGCCCCGACGCTCCGCGCCACCACGCCGCCCACTCCGCGGCCGGCGTCCTGGGCCTGTGCCTCGCGGGCGAGGCCCCGGCCCGCCCCCCGCCCTTGGCATCGCTCGGGCGTGTGTGTTTGCTTGGCCTCGGCGAGGACCATCGAGGAGCATCCTCCTCCTCCTCGTCCTCCTCCTCCTCCTCCTCGTCTTCCTCCTCCTCCTCTTCCTCCTCCTCCACCTCCTCCTCCTTCTCCCTTCTCCTCCTCCCCCTCCTCCTCCTCCTCCTCCTCCTCCTCCAGTTTTCGGCTCGCGAGGAGCTGCCGCCCCCCTTCGGGCGCCTGCGGGGCTGCAGGCGAGGGGGATTCGGCTCCTGTCGCGCGCTGAGACTAGCGCTCGCGCGACGGCGGCTCCCAGGGAGGCCGCCGCCCACCATCGAGCGCGACTCCGACGCAAGGAGGATCGCGCCCTCCTCCACGCCTGGGCGGGGCGCCTGTCTCCAGGCCTGGCGGCGAGGCTGCGCAGTGCGGCCCAGCGCTTGGACAGCCATCACGGTTCCTCAGCAGGGGCCATGGCGCCAGCGCCGGCCAAGGCGCAGGAGCAGCAGCCGCGGCAGAGGGTGCTACGAGGTTCGAAGAAGCCATACTGGAGCTGCTCCTGCGGCATGGATGGCAATTGGGCGTGCCGCATCGAGTGTACCTGCGGCAAGCAGGCGCCCCAGCGCATCATCAACGCGGCCAAGAAGGCCGATGCAGCTGCACGCGCAGGTGATGCACCGTCCAAGCGAGCAGGAGGTAGCGGGTTCACTGAGAAGCCTGCTCCGTGGTGCTCAAAGTTCAAGCTCATGGAAGCCGAGCTCGCGAAGTTGCGGAATCTCGTCGGCAAGGGTGGCCCCACACCATGGCTTCGAGCGGAAGGCGACCAGCACCAGGCCACGGAAGAGAAGAGCGAGAAGGACCCCAGCTTCGCCAAGAGGACGGCGCTGCAGGAGAAGATCAACTACCATGAGCGTGCCCTCAAGGAAGCTGTCAAATACGAAGAGCAGGACGGTGCGGCCCACGCGTACCACAAGGCAGAGATTGACAAGCTCAGGGAGCAGATCCGCGACCTGCGGCCCCCAGCAACGGCGTACAAGCTGGCATCGCAGAAGCTGGAGCGCAGCAGAATGCAGCTTGACAAGCTCACGAAGGATCATGAGGAGATGCTGCTGCAGCTACAAGGACTGCAGGAGAAGATACCGGAAAAGTCGGCATCGATCGAGGCGAAGAAAGTCGAGGTCGAGCAGTTCAAAGCGGAGGCAGAGCGTCATCAGCGGCAAGTGCAAGTTGCCCGAGGCGAAGCTTCCGACGACGCTGGTCCGACCATCCCCGAGGATATCATGGCGCTCGACGTCAACCTCACGGACTTCCAGGATGATCCAGGACTGCTGCAGTTCTATCACCAGTGCCGTGCGGACGCCAATTTCCAGAAGCTACAAAAGTTGGTGCAGAAGAAGCTGGAGGTATCCATCCCCAAGTCTCCTGCGCCAAGGAACGGGACGCAAGTTCCTGTTGGCCCTGATGCTGATGACGGTCTTGATGGGTCAAGTAGCGGAGGCGAAGGCAACAACAATGGCGAGTCCTCCAAGCGTGGCAACGGCATCCAGTGGACCACGGAGGACGTCGAAGCTCTTCATACCAAGCTATGCAAGGGAGAACACGGCAACGACATCTCCATGGACCAGCTATCCGACATGGTGGCCGATATCCAGAAAACCAAGTTTCGTAAGACAGATGAAGTGTCCGCAGTACCAACAGGAGGGTGTAAATCCTAGCACCCTGCCGCGCGTAAGTGGGCTGCTCGTGCGTCGTGGAAAGACATGTGCTGTCCCTGCGCCTGTATCCATGGTAAGCGAGCACTTGTTCGAGACCTTCAATGCCAGTCAAGGGAAGCGGACGCTTAAGCTTCGATTGGAGAGGACTAGCGCGCTGGTTGTTCTAGCGCAAGAAATAGGACACTTGGATTGGGAATGCGAAGCCCTCAGTACATGGGCTAGCTCCCGCAAGAGGCAGATGATGGTCATTCCTGGGAAGCCTACAGATGGACATCTCCCGTCAGGCGGATTGGCTATTTTCGCAAGGGAAGGCGTGGGGTTACGAGGCCCTGAGTATCCTGCATCTACGGCGGCTCGAAGACAAAGCGAGACGAATGAGCAGATTGCCTTCGGGTCTGAGCTGGTAGCCCATCGAGCGCAGCACGCGCTCGTGGAATTGGAAGGACGGCCGCCACCCAACGTCTTCAACATTTACCTGCACACGGCCGAGGGTATGACGACGAGGAATGCCAGGATCCTCATGAACGTAGGGCCCGCGATGGCAGGACAACAGTCAGTACCCATGTCTGGTAGGGGGCGACTGGAACATGTCAATCGAAGAGGTTGAGGCATCGGGTTTCCCAGCACACGCACAAGTCGGCCTTGTCAGCCCAGGCCGGGTTGCATGCAGGGGACCTGCCAGTGCCACAACAATCGATTCCTTCGCCTTGAGCTCTGGAGCAATGCGGCTGATGAGGAAATGCCACGTAGATAAGACATGGCATAAGAAGCCGCACCGCCCTGTCCAGTTATCGCTGTGTGGCCATGGTACGACAATGCAATACCTTACATATGTTGGAGGGACAAAGATTGCAGCCGACAAAGTTGTGGGTCCTTTGTGGCACGACGCCGACTGGGAGTTCGAGCGAAGCTATGCTGCAGAAGCGTCTCGTCAAGCAGCGCTTGCCCCAGTCGCAGTTGCGTGGAAGGTACAACCACGAGCGTGGGGTCTTTGGGCGCGCAAGGCTGCAATAAGGCTTGGCCACATCACGGGTACGCCCGTCAAGGCACCAGAGAAGTTCACGGGCATGATCCGACCCAAGTGGATGTCATATGCATACGAAGGCCAAGACGCTGAAGGTATCCAGGCAGTTGCTGATGACTGGCAATGGTTCGCCGATGCAGTCAAAGGGATTGCAGCACTTAAGAACGGCCGTGGCCAAGAGCAAGAAAGGCAACTCGCTGATGAAGCCCAAGGTTTCCTGGAGACCGATTACGTGGGCCAAAATACCAATCATCGTCTCGACGCTTCGGTCGCACGGGCTAGACGGTTGATTAGTCATGCCTCAACATCCAGTGAAGATTTACACGAATTTCTTGCAGAATGCGAAGAAGATATGGAGTATGCGAAGCAGCAGGCGGACCGAGACAGCTCCGCCCGCTGGAAGGACTGGTGCGATATTGCATGTGCGGGAGGCGCTGGACGTCTGCATCGCGCCACCAAACTCAACAGTGCGCAGGCGCCAACGGTAGTGTGCAAGACCACCATGGATGGCACGAGCGGACACCCTCACCAGATAGTGTTGGACATGGAAGCCAAGCACCACAAACTCTGGAAGGCGACTGAGGAGGCACCGCACGTTTGGGTACCTGATCGAAGTACAATGGATAGACCAAGTCCAGGTATGATCAGAGCAGCATCAAAGGCTTTCACCACGAAGACCTCGAGCAGCCTGGACGGCATCCACCCCTCACACTTCCAGCACTTGAGCGACGAAGCCTTGGAGTGCCTCTGCGAGATCTTCCAGGCGGTGGAAGCGATCGGTGTATTTCCCATTCAACTTACGTGGATGGTGATGCCAATGTTGCCCAAAGCTGCTGGAGGACACAGGTTGAATATTCTGTAATCGGCGGCCTACAGAGCATGGCAGAAGATGAGGCGGCCTGGCCTCGACATCATCCAGCAGAGATTGGACCGCCCCAATTGGGGGGCGGCTTCGGGGAGAAGCGCAGTGGACAGTGCTTGGACCCTCGCTGCGGACAACGAGCAGAACGTTTGTCAGGACAGGTTCGTGGTCACGGTAGTCGCAGACTACAGCAAGTACGACGAGACGATTGGGTTGGACCAGGCGCGCGATAAGTTGATGCGACTTGGTATGCCAGTGCCGATGATCAAGGTGGTCTACAATCAATGGAAGGGGCCGAGGATAATACGGCTGAGACTCCACCACGGGGGAGCCCCAAGGCATGCGAATGCTGGGCTGCCAGCTGGGGATGCGTATGCAGACGTGGTGATAAAGGCGCACGCGGTCGAACAGTACGACATGTACACGACCTTGCATCCACTTGTGCGCTTCGCCTCCTACATCGACGACACAGCCCTCGGAGTCAACAGCAGCAGCAAGAAGATGGTGATCGACCAGGCAGTGCATGCTACGAAAGGGTTCTTCCAGGCGGCACGTGCATTAGGGGCCAGCATCAACGAGAAGCTTGCTATCATCTCGAGCGCCAAGGCCATAAGTGATGAAGTCAGTCGTCGGCTACACCTTGATATGAAGATAAGCTTGAAGAGTACGGCGTATTTGGGCACTGATGTTTCTGGTGGCAGGGCTCGGAATGCCAACGGCACGCGTGGCAAGTTTCGTGCAAGACAGAAGGTGTATGGTGGAAGGCTGCGGAAGCTACGGAAGTTCAAAAAGGCGCTCGCTGCTAAAAAGACGGGGAGAATCGGGAAGATCTACCGTGTGGGTGCAAGGCCTGCGTATACCTTCGGGGTGGAGGTCAACGGGGTCAATGACGTGGAGCTCCTGAAGTTAAGACGGGACTACAACAAGCACGCCAAGCCCAACCACGGCGGCACCTCCGCAAGCGCGAAGCTCGTGCTGCTAGGCGACCCTGCTGCCACGCAAGCGCTGGCGCCCGCTCTCCAATGGTCAAGGATGGTATGGGCCGCCACAGCCAGGCCTGATACCGCAGCTGTTCCGCTGGCACTGCTGGAAGCATGGTGGAGAAGGGCAGTCACCGAACCTGGAGTGGTAAACCAGTGGAGTAAAACACGAGGCCCCCTTCAACGCGCAGCACTCTCAGTACAACGAGCTGGATGGCAATCGCGTGCAGGGCTACTCTGGATCAACCATCGAGGCGATGAGGTGCATGTAGGGCAACTCACTCCTGGCCTTCTGGACATGATTCTGAGGCAAGGTCTCGCAGCGCAGCATGAGAAGGCTCTTGCGGAGAAGTGGGACATGCAGCCCTACACGAGAGTCACCTTCGATATTCTTCGGCGACATGTCAAATCGAGGA